AGAACCCTAAACCATAAATCATAGAACCCTAAACCCTAAATCCTAAACCCTAAACCCTGAACCCTGAACCCTAAGCCCTAAACCCTGAACCCTGAACCCTAAACCCGGACAGGAGCTGAGGGGTTTCGGATCTCGGGGTTTTCGGCCGAGGCGGCAGAGGCGCACGCAACCGGATCCCGAAGCTGAAGCAGCTTTGTGTTAACCCTAGGGGGTTTAGGGTTGAGGGTTGGGGGTTGAGGGTTTAGGGGTTTAGGGTTTAGGGGTTTAGGGGTTTAGGGTTTAGGGTTGAGGGTTTAGGATTTAGGGGGTTTCCCACTAGACCCTTAGAAATAAGGGTGCCCTTTTTCCTACAATTTGGCTTTTCCTAAGGGAACCCAAAATAACAAGGGCCAAAGGGTCCTACTGGGAAACCTCGCCTTTTTGAACCCAGACTCTGCTGATCAGCTGGGAAGCAGCACTGCATATACCCTAAACCCAAACCTCAAACCTATACTGAACTTGGGACCCTTGCAAACTTTAGCTTAATTCCAGTTGTATCGCACCCTTATGTTGAAGAAATAACAACCCAGGCCAGGAGCCCGAACACTTCAACCCTAACCCCTTCTAAGCCCGAGTTCCAGCCCCAAACCCCCTGCCTTGGGAGAAGCTTAAGGTTCAGGGCTTTCTTTTAAGGCCCCCATTGTTGCGTCTGCATTTGGGGGGGCCTTGGGGTTCAGGGCTCAAGGTTCGCCTAAACCCTTTTTTTTTTGGTTGCACTCGCCTAGACCCTAGACCCTGAACCCTTTTCAGCACAGGCTTTGGATGTGTGTGCCGGAAACCCTGAACCCTCAACCCTGAACCCTAAACCCTTCTGAAACCGGACTTGATGCCTCCCAGCAGTTCCTAAACCCTGCACCCTAAACCCTGAATCCTAAACCCTAAACCCTGAACCCTGAACCCTAAACTCTAAACCCTGAACCCTGAACCCTAAGCCCTGCACCCTAAACCCTGAATCCTAAACCCTGAAACCCCGCATGGCCGGTTCGCCGGTCCCTGCACGAAGCTTCGGCTTCGCTGCGGCTGCCTTTCGGGCGGGCGCCTGAGGCAGGAAATCCCTCGGGCCTCCAGAAAAAATAAAAAGGGTATGAGGGCTTAGGTTTGGGGTTTAGGTTTTAGGGTTAAGGGTTTAGGGTTTAGGGTTTAGGGTTTAGTCCACCTTAAACCTGAAACTCTGTTGCAAAACCTCAAAAACCAAAGCCGTGAACCCGGAAGCCCTGTCAAAACCTGCCTTTCTCTTGGCGTTTAGGCTGGAAAACAGATCCGAGCGCAGGAGTCCTTGTATGTCGTCCCACAGACCCGCGTTTTACAGGGGCATTACACACAGTACTTTAGGGTCTGAGGCTTAGGGAAGAGGGTGTACAACTTTGGGAAACGGGTCTTGCTTTCCAGGACAGCATGCTGGGTTCAGACCAAAAGGTGTTGCGGCGCCTGCGTGTTGCTGTCATTAGAAAGAATAACCGAAATCCATGTCACAGGGTTCGGGAATGCCAACACGACTTTTGGTGGTGGTGGTGGTGGTGGTGGTGGTGGTGGTGGTGGTGGTGGTGGTGGTGGTGGTGGTGGTGGCGGCGGCGGCGGTGGTGGTGGCGGCGGTGGTGGTGGTGGGTGGCGGTGGTGGTTGTCAGTGCGATGACATCGCAGAAAACCGTCATCCACAGATTTTCAAAGGGGCCAATACAACCAACGACTAGCCAAAGCAACTATGCCAGTGGTAGAAAGACGAAGACAACGACCAAGGATGAGCGCACCGGCTAAACAATCCGAGCCATAAGAACCCCAAACCCCTCTCACAGCCTCGCCCGAAGCTCTGACTCAAGGCCGGCAAAGACCAAAACCCATGCTTCTGGTGCCGCCATGTTGAGTTTAGAGTGAAGAGGGTGGACATGGCAAAGAGCAACGAGTTTGGTCAAATCCTAAATTACTAAACCCTTTTGCAGCAGGCTTCTCTCGCCCGGAAGAACTGCCGTCGCCGTGAAGCAGTGCAGCACTCATGACTGCACAACCCCGCACAACATGTACTCATGACAAGCTATGCAGTTGGACAGCCCAGCTGTGAGGAATGATTGTACTCCAAGCCACGAATGAAAACTGAGTAAACGCAAGGTCGTGGAAGGCGTGAAGATCACTACAATACGAATCATGAAACAATTGCTCCATGTGAAGATCAATAACGAGGCCATAGAACTCCAATCGCACCCACATGAGCCACAAGTGAAGGACGTGTACGGCTGTGCCTGTCCGGAAAGGTCTGAACTCCATGCTTAAGCCATAAACCCGAAACCCTAAATTACTAAACCCAAAAACCCCACACCCTAAACCCTAAATTACTAAACCCTAAACCCCAAAGCCTAAACCACGGCCCAAACAGCTACAGAGCTCTAAGGGAAAGATAGGCCGTGGTCTTCTTAACCATATATTCCTTGATACCATGTACCGCGGCCTTCGGCGTCTTACCGAGTGCAGCATCGCTGGCCGGGGGCAGGCCAGCCAAGCAGCGGACCTTGCGACGGAACTTATGTCGGGTCCGGGGTGTTAGGGTTTAGGGTTTAAGGTTCATGGCCTTAGGGTTTTATGGTCTAGGGTTTAGGGCTTCATATCGGGTTGAGGGCTTAAGGCTTGGTAGTACATTATACCCAGCTTGATACATAGTATGTACGCAGTTCGGCTCTGTAGAAATACGGTAGTTGGAGGTCTACTAGAGCCTACAGAAGCTTTACATGGATGCGCCCTGCAGTGACTACTTGAAAAGAACACTAAACCCTAAACCATTACTGTAGCGATCGATTGTAGGAGCCAGTCCTGAAACGTAGCATGCCGGCACTCCACAAAAGGAGAGTGCGCGAGTGTGATGATCGTTGCACGAGTCTGTTGCTCAGGTCTCTTCTCTGATTCTGTAACAGTAACCCTGGCAGTGTCCTGATGGCAACCGCTATTGAAACCCTTAAGCCTGAAGCTTGCAACGACCGGTTACCCCAAGAGTCTTAGAGTACCCCTTGCTGTCACCGAGCAACCCTTCTACTGGTGTTAGTAGGGCTTTGCGAGAAAGGGTTAGGTTGGGAAGAACCTACGCCTACGCTGTGCCCGAATCGCCCAAGCAGCAGGCATATGTATAAGCCTATAGACTTATAGATGTACGAAGGCATACGTGTGCGCATGTGCACATATACATACATACTGAGAACCTTGGAGCTCAACTAACAAGAACCAGCTTCTCGAAGCTGCACCCCCCCCTCCCCCCCCCTCCCACACCAACACCCCTCCGCACTGCGACGAGGTCGAGGCAATCCGGAAGGCAAGCTGCTGCGGTGTGCCATCGCTTGGCAGCCTTAGGGCGGCCAGCGGCCCGGGGTATTCTGGGCTTTGGGGATCATGGCTCGAGGTTGGGCGGTATTTTCCCTCTTTGGGGTTTAGGGTTTAGGGTTTAGGGTTTAGGGTTTAGGGTTTGGGGTTTAGGGTTTAGGGCTCGGGGTTTAGGGCTTAGGGTTTAGGGCTTAAGGGTATTAGGGTTTGGTTTGGGGTGCTGGGGCCAGCTGTGAGGGTGTTCGGCTTTTAGGGCTTTGGCACTTTCAGTATTAGACTAATGCTGCGGTAGATTATATGAAGGTAAACATATAGAGCCCTGGTACCAAGCCCCACACTATTACCAAAAGGCCCGAAAACTTTAGTTTGCCTCCTACTTAGCAAGGACTTAGGGTTTGGGGTTCAGGAGTTCAGGGTTGATGGCGCTAAAGTGGTGGAACCCGGCCCGCTTTTCTCCGAGAAGGCTTTGGTGCCGGAGGCACTGGCTGCAAGAGCCTCGGCGCAGGGGATCTACCAACAAACACACAAACTTCGGGCTAAGAGTGTGGGCTTCCGGGATGTGTAAGAAACCCCTCAACCGTAAACCCCTAAACCCTAAACCCCTAAACCCTAAACCCCTAAACCCTAAACCCTCAACCCCTAAACCCTAAGCCCCTAAACCCCTAAACCCTAAACCCCTAAACCCTAACCGGCATCGATCGG